CAACATACATACATCATGTTGTTTTCTCCATGTGTTTTATGGTTATGGACATGATGATGATTGTCTATCAACATGGCATGCCATGACTCATCCATTTCCCATATTTTTGCCTATGTTTTCATCACCATCATCATCATGGTCTTCTAGAACCTATCATAGTGGATCTCGTATTTCTCATATCATCTTTTCATGCATGGTCACCATCCATATCATGAAATTATACCCCACCCATAATCCATTATTGCAATTTCCACTAATTTCAATCCATATATACACGTAGCAAATTATACTAAAAAAATTGGTTAAGTGTTAATGGTATATATACATACATACACACAAATATATATATATATATATATATGTATGTATATGTATATATGTATGTATATGTATATATGTATGTATATGTATATATGTATGTATATATATATGTATGTATATGTATATATGTATGTATATTTGTATAGGGTTATGTTCAAGAAACCGTAAAAAAATGAGTAACAACCTGGAGATTGTTCATCTAGAATGCATGCACATGTACATACAAGTAATTTGTAAGCAGTTTTTCCGGTATGCACACATACATGTACATACCGTCTAGATGAATGGTTGTCTGGATGTTCCTCAGTTTTTTATTTTTTTGAGGTTTTCCTGACCCCCATCTGTGTGTGTATATATATATATATATAAGTATTTAGTATAAAATTTATAATTAAAAAAACTCAGACTTAATCAAATCAAAATACTGTAGTATATAGCGGAGTGACCCATAATTAAAAATTTACAATATGGTTAATCAAATATCATCATCATCATCTTCGTCTCACAGTACACTGGAGAGAGATATACGTTATATATAAATATATATATATATAGTATAATATAAATAAGAAAATAAAATATAGAAAACCCCGGCAAACAACAAAGGAAGCCTCAATTATATGAAAATAGTAGTAAAATGATGGTTGCTAGTTGCACGAGGACCATAAGGACTCCCCCATGCCCATATGACTTTGGTGGTCAACTACCATGTCCATGCCAAAAAGGGACCTGGTTGGTGTGTGTGATGGGTGGTGGCGAGACGGTGGCGAGATGTTTTCCGGTGACTGGTTGACGGGGCTTGACGAGAACTGGCGCATTCTCATGTGAACCACTTCTGCTTGGGACACTGCCAATTGTGCTTGAAGTACGTCTATTTGTTGTTGTAGGGATGATATTGCTCCGACACAACCGTACACTGGATCCCTGATCCGTGCGTTTGCTTCATACACCATTGAACTCACAGCGTCACCTCTATGATGCTCCGGTAATTCCTACATTCAAATTTGTATATCATTTTCTTTGGTAAATCTCCATAAATGGATGCAAATAGAAGTTAAGATTTGTGAAACCCCTACCGAGACAAAAGTTCTTTTTTTGTTCCTCCAAAATAGATAGTAAACCAAAAATCCGGGATATGGGACAAAAATAACAAATTACTAAAATACCCATGTCAAATCAAAACCCTAACATCTTGCACAATTCTTTCACTCGCCTATCTCACTCTTGTCTGTCCCATCTATCATTTCTATTCCGTCCAGTCCAATCTCGTCTGCGTATCATACAAGACCTTATATAGAAAAGGGGAGCTTTTACGTCCACCATGCCAGTGATACAAATTCTAGCCGTTTCGAGAAATCCCATCTATTTGGGGCCCGAACACCTATGATTTCATGTATATGATTTGAAATCGAAAGAAGACAACTTTGTCTATCGTCATGATTACGATTGATAACGACAATTATAATTCACAATTGATTAATTTAAGCTTTCAACATCCAAAATATAATTCCAAAATTCAAATAAAACACAATTGTTTTTCTTTTGAAGTATATAATATTTATATACAACAAATAAAACAAATAAACTCACACATTCTCCTCACCTTTGGTGAGGTTTGAACATTTGACCTCTTAGAAGGCTAAAGACTCACGTACCGCTAGACCAAATACCATTTGGTAAAACCACAATTGTTCATAGCATGAAATTATGTTTTTATCCTTGCTTATTTAAAAATTGTTATTTTCATCCCTATAATTTTATAATTACGATTTTCATCCTATAGTTTACAATTCATTATTGTTTTCGTTTTTATGATTCGAAATTTATTCTTTACAATTTATTGTTATTTTAGTCTTTCATACTTAAAGGTAGAAGTTAGACTCAAGAAATAAACTGTAAATCATAAGGACGAAAACTACAATTTTTAAATCACAGGGATGAAACCTGCAATTTTTAACAAACTATGGGGACAAAATGTAATTTACTCTAAGATTTATTAACAAAAAGAAGGTAGTTGATGATCCCCTTCCGTGCACATTACTTTAATTTTCCACACTTTGTAACAAAGAATCGTTTGACCAAAAAATATTTATAGACGACTTCTATAATATTTCTTTTAGTCGATTAAATCACTTGTTGTTCACACTTCCTTTATTAATTAAGAGTTGTTTGTTTATCTCTTAATAATTTCATTAAAAGATAGTTTCTGAATTGTTAAGAGATTAATCTTGTTTGGCAGAAAAAAAAGTCTGTCTCGTAATTGTTCTAAAACACTCATAATGATTTTGTATCTTGGGTCTCCATTAACTATTCAACACCCTAACTTTATTATAAGTAATTATCAAACAATTATATTTTATTTTGCATTATATTATAAGAGTCTTTTAACCATTATGATCACTTAATCATCAGCAACTGTCAAACAATCGCTAAGATAAAAATATCAACATTAAAATAAGATAAATACGAGAATAATTAAATTACATGTGATTTTGCAATGTAATCACATGTGATTACGAAACATAGTGTAAACCTAAGTTGCATGTAATCACATGTGATTCTATATATGAGTTTAGTGTAAAATCACATATGACTATTAGGTCATTCTTATGTTCTCTTATTTCGTCGGATTTCTCATTTGAATCCAATTGTATTGATTCATTTCGTATCATTTATAAAGTATCTCGGCCGTTCTTACAAACCCGAGTAGAAAATCGTTTAAATTTGTTTATTTTATTAAATTATGATTTAAAAAACGAAATTAGTAAGTTTCAAAATTGAGTGGTGGATTGTTTGTTGCCGAAAGTGTTAAAATTGTTTAAATTTTTGTAATAAAAGAAAACGATTGAAGGAGAAAAAGTCCAATGAAATGATGGAAGATGATGATGGAAGATGAAAAAAGAGGAGACAAGTTGTCGAATATGAGCTGAAATGACAAAAGCCAAATATATATATAAATATATATATATATATATATATATATACATATAACACAATGATATGATATGATATGCCAAATTTTGAAGTACGTGCAAAGTACTTCATAACCATTCTTTGACTGTAAATTAGCCATGGCCCTCCATCAACTGTTAATAACCGAACTCGAAAAAGCGCGTTAAATATCGGTAACAATGGTCGTGTTTTTTAAAAACGGCATGAAAAAGGTCCGTCTCTCATTAGTCTCCTAAGTTTTGTGTTGTTATAATGTCATACGGTTTTTTAAAGACCCAAAAAAATCATGCAGAGTACGTGTGATACGTGAAACGTGACAGTATTATTAAAAACTTGTTATCATACGTTTGGTCACGTCTGTATTGGAATTTTGTAAGAAAATGGAAATAAATGGGACGAAAATGAGTTTTGTTGTTGTTCCATAGAGATAAGTGAAACAAAAATCAGGAACGAGACAAGATTCATAAATTATTAAACCACTCATCTTTAAATCATTTCACATTATTTTACCTTATCTACCTCACTCTCACTTGTCCTGTTCTGTTTAATCTACGTACCAAACACACGCATATAGTCCATGATTGAAACCGAATAGATGGTGATGTGTTTCACTATTGGGTGTGTGGCTCCAGGTAACAAGAGACCATGTAGGTTCAGGGACAGGGTTAAGTGCACGTACCCGTATAGTTCAAGATTGAAACCGAAAAGATGGTGATGTGTCTCACTAGTGGTTGTCTGGCTCAAGGTAACATAAAAAACCATGTGGGTTCAGGGTTTAAGATCTAGAGTTCGATCCATCTATCTTTATGAGTTCACAAGTCATACCCGACCAAAATTTATGTATAGGTTTGGTTATTTGAACCATTTTAAGTCAAATCATAATACTGAAAATAGAAGTTGGTACTTGTATGCATTAAATGTTTCAGAAGTAATTCGTAATGTAAGTCATGGTGCATGCAAAACACACACACATATATATATATATATATATATATATATATATATATACAACTTTTAATGCATATATATATATATATATATATATATATATGCATTAATAGTTGTACACTTTAAATAGTCAATGTATAACATGTAAACATGTGAAAGTCGCCTCGGGAGCAGTTTGATCCATTTATCTTTGTCCCACTACAATTTCAATGACTTTTGTTACATTTAGACTTTTTTTGCAATCTTTAAACTAAAAAATAAACCTTAATCTTTGAAACGTTATTTGTTATAGCGATTACTTAAATACGTCTTATTTGACTATTGAACCCGTCATGTCATCGGGTTTTGTCCAATGCAACTACTTTCAAACCCTACATTCGACTTAAATACAACACGTGTTCCATTCGAAATATATTTGGTTTGTTTGGTTTGAACGGTTTCAACTTTAGGGTTTGGCATACATGGCAATTAGGCTAAACTTGTTAGTTTCACATTACGGAAGGTGGCTAATTTATAACCTAGAAAGCATGCAATCTATGTGGTGGTGGCGGTGGCCGGTGGTGGAGGATCAAAGGGCTAACCTGGAGCATCTTGTTGACATTGCTAGCACCAAACACCTTATGAACACTGGCAAACTTCTGAGGCTCGTCGGCCGGAAAGTAGGGTGCAAAAACACAATCTTGAGAACATCTTCTTCGTAAAAGCTTGCAAGCGGCACACGGCGATGCCGCCCCTTGTTTTCTTCCGGCGCCACCGCCACTGCTACCGCTATCCTTCATTGAATCGAACAAATTATATTAAGCTAGTTCTCCGACTGCATGCAATATATATATATATATATATGTATGTATGTATGTATATATGGGGAAGAAACGAATTGAAGGGTGAAAAGCAAAATAAAGAAGGAAGGAGGGGTCATAGAAGAAAGGGAGATGGTGATGATATATAGACAAAACTCGATTGCAGGAGATCTGAAATGGGTCCTTCACCTACTTTAAAGAATCTTGGATTTCACTGGACAAAAAACCACCATGTCCCACTCACACCATTTTTTATATTCACATTTTTTACTTTAATTCATCCACTTTTTTTTTTAATTACCGTGGATATCCAAACCCGTTATGCGAGCCGACTAATTCCAAGACGATCACCTGCTTTGCAGATAGTCCGGAGTCATCACATTTGAACCTCCGTGGCCACAAGGAGATTTTTATTCCTCTTTGGATTTAAACCTCCCGGTACTTTTGACCTTTGCAGCCACGCTTAAACCAATCAGACACCACCCTTATGGTTTAATCCATTTTTTTTTTTCATTTTCATTTTCCGTGTTGTATTAAAAGAAATTTTGGCAGCATCTTACCATCTTAAAGTAAGGAATATATTGTGGGGGGAAAATGATCCATGGGAAAAACCAATCAGTTTGTATGAAGGTGAGAAGTTTTAAGATCATATATGATTACACATAATATGCATGCTTAATCATATATGATTAAGAACATCCAAAGGAGACAGGGGTGACTTGGTAAAGTTATAGGTTGTCGATGTAATATGCGTTTAATCATATATGATTAAGCGTGTCTATCATTTACATGTAATTAATCATATATGATATTGCAATTTCTCGTCTCCAATCCTTTATATGTATTCCAGCTGTATAAATCTTTATATAGTTGGGATCATGTGAAAACGATTTTTTTTTGTGAGAATTACTAATTTGGATGACTTTTTATATCTGATGACTCATGAAGAATGTTGAAGTTTATCTATCTTCATCTGATGGGTTGCAAAAGATATAAAGTCATCTATCTTCGTCAGTCGTCAGAGAGTGGTTACGTGTGAAACCACCGCTACAAAAAAAAATGATTTTATAGGACGCATAAAATGTATAAACATCCTTAATAAAATTATAAGACTTGAGTTTATGGGACAAAACAAAAAAGTATCACATCCAAAAGCATTACAATAGGGTTATAATGTTTTTAGATGTTTTAACAAGTTCTTTAACGACGTTTTTAAAATAAAATATCGTATTAACTATTTTATATTATTTGAAAATTTGTTCTATAAAACTAATAGGACATTTAGTTTAAAGCATCTTAAAAACTTGTTAAAATGCCTAAAAAGATTCCATAAACTTATTGTAACGCTTTTAGATAGGCCGATTTATAGTTTGGTCACATAAACCTAAGTTCTATAAAGTATTTTATTAGGACGCTTAGACAATTTAGGCATTTAAAGCCAGTTTTGTTGTATACTTTTTTATGATATCTATTTTGTAATATCACTTTAAAAAAATTCCTGAATCTGTGCTCTCTTTGGTCATCTTACCTTCACATAGATGAACTTGTTAAAGTTTTAATCATAACGAGAATACAGAAACGAATATATGCAGAGGTAAATGAAGAAATACTGAAGTCTATGATAGATCAGTACAGTACAGGTTGATAAAAACAGATGAAACTGTTGTCTTATAAGATGAGGATCCAATCCAAATGCTTTTTTTATAACAAAAAAAAAGGTAGGGAGAGAGAGCATGTCATTTTAGTAAGTCATAGGTAACATCACCAGCTTATTTTCTAATGTTATTATGCACTTTAATTCATAGAATAATCTATCATGTGTTATGCTGTTAGATCTTGCCTATGCCTTTATTAATTTGCATAAACTTACTACCATCCTATATATCACAATATTGAGAAGGTGGGGGACACAATATTATACATATACACATACATATATATATATATATATATATATCCATTCAATATATATATATAGTACGTAAGTCAAAGAAAACGGGTTCTTTTCAGTAATAAATTGACAAAAACAGTTAGGTTGTGGGCCTGAATGGTTAATATTGAAAGAGGGTTTTCAATATTTTAAAGGAACCATGGTACTGTAAGATGATCGGTTGTTATATTCATATGTTTATATAAATCTTTTTCTCAACCATCTTATATCTATACTATATTATAAAACAACTGAGAAAAACTTTTAAAAACCATTTTTTATGTATTAAGTACTGTTTATTGATGAATGTTGTTTAAAATTCAATACTACAAGTAAATTGTGCGTAAGTACAACTTATTAAAACTTTATTTTTTAATTCGTGTAACTAACTGCAGATAAAAATAATCAAATTGAGGATAAATATCTCATTTTAAATATAAAAAATCTAAAATACAATTAGGATAATCATTGAGTTTTAACAAAATAATTAATTGTTATCTTTATAAAAAAAATATTTCTAAACAAAAAAATAAAAAATAAATTAAAGAAATACACAAAAAAAAAAATTTTAAATAGTTAGTTTGATACTAATATCAATATTTTTACAATTTTTTATGATATATCTTCATATTTATATACTATTCAAAAATAAAAACATCATCACTTTCTCAAAACCATATAAAACTGTATTATAACATCGACTGAGACAAAAAAAACGAAACATTAAAATCGAGATGTATCTTGTTGCATTGTGCGAGTACTCTCCTAGTATTGATATACATATACCTAAAATGGAAATACTATTAGTCCTTTATATAGGATGCCACTACTTTTGGCAAGTTCAGAGATATCTCATAAATTAAAATCATTTCTAAATTAGTAAAACTGTATACTTAAGATAACATGTCAACAAAGAAAACTCAGAGAATATATGTTACACCAAATCAGACCAAATTAACATAGTGTATCTCAGCCAAAAGTAGGGTATGAGGGGGTGTGATGTACGCAGACTTATCATTTAACCCCTAAAAGGTACAGTGACTATTTCCGTGAATATCCTTTACTTGTGAAAAGGTATACTAGAAAAAGAAGAAAATAGAAATGGTAGAAGATGGTAGACAACAGAAATAGGAAAAATTAGTGAGAATCATTAAGGACCAGTTACACTAAAATACAAAAACAGGTAAGGTACGATAAGACTGAACACAGATAAAAAGATTATGTAAGGTATGGTAAAAACACAGATCCATTTATATGCCATCTCTCTAACCCCACCGTCAACCTCTCCATCTCCCTTATTCCTGGCCACACGAACCATAGACGGACCTAGTTAAGTGCCATGGGTGGCACGTGCCACCGTATCGTTTCTTCGCCAAAGGGTAAACAATTTAGGTTTTGTGAACGGTGCAACCGTATTAATTTGTTGTATGCCACTGTATGTATTTTGAAACTACAATGAGAACAAGTTTTATTTGGTAGAGTTGGTTTGCAAGGCTTTTATTCCACCCCACACCCAAGTCCTAATCATGTTAGTATCATTTTCTTAGTCAAACGGTGTCACCGTTTGAAAAAAATTCCGTATATTTGTTTCTTATAGTCGAACGGTGTCACTGTTTGAAATAAAATTTCCTATATTTTTTTTTTTTATGGTCAAATGATGCCACCGTTTAAAAAAAATTATGGGTCCGTCCCTGACACGAACTAGATGTCTCTACATCTATTATGTTAGTCATGTGTAGCAGAATCAGTGTATTATCCTACATGAACAAATGAACATAATATTGCTAAAATGTCTTTAGTTGACAGGCCGACTTAAAATCATGGCCTTAAACGTTGATAGCTTTACACTGATGAACCACTGTATTACTTGAAAAACAAATTAACAGTGATGTGCAGTTGCACCACTATTATGCCACAGTTTACATGTGTCATCTTTGCTATCACTTGCTATTGGGAAATTAACCTACCTCTGTACCGACAATTGTGAAAGAATCCTACATAAACTAGATTTGAACTATATCTTATCAGTATATGTTGAAATCCTCTTTCTCTTCTTAGTGATTCTTTTGGAGTAATCTGATTCTGATGTATGCATTATGGTATCAGAGTCAACATCTAACACAGATCTACAGACCTGACATTATGGGACATCTTTATGCATGTTTATCTCTGTTGAAAGGGGCGTATTAGAGTCGCACATCAGCTATGTTGAAACATACCTTCTTTCATCAATGACTCTTTTACAAAGTAATCTAACGAGGGTTACTTATATTCTCACAGATTACTGATTACTTTGAAGCAATACTGATGGTGATTAGACAACGTGATTACTCAACGATTGTTATTAGACTACGTGTCTAACGAAACGCGTATATTATTTACACATCAGATCGAGATCGGGATTGTATCGACAAGACTTGGAGAGGAAGATTTAGGAAAAGATTTGTAATGTTTGGTGATGTCATTTGGAGGCAGGCAATGTAACATCAGTTTGAATACGAGTTTTTGCTTTATTTAATTATTTAATTAATTGATATTAATTAATTAATTGGTGCACCACTGAGTTTTGTTTATGAAAATAATAATTGTCTTCATCAAAGACGTGCTGTTGGCTTAACTAAGATTATCATCACTTAAACAAATCTACTCCACTCCATTAACACTATATTTTTATGAGAAAATTACACCCTAGGTCCCTGTGGTTTGCTCAAAATCTAGATACGGTCCTTCTTTCAAAATAAGTGTACTTGTGGTTTGCATTTCGTTACAAGTCGAGTCCATGTTCCTAGTAGAGTTAACTCCTATTCAGTGACTCTAAGGATATGTTGGTCATTTTACCATGTTTTTGTTTTTTTCTATTAAAAAAGCATATATATATATATATATATATATGTGTGTGTGTGTATGTGTATGTAATGTAATATATAATAGATTTATATATATATATATATATATATATATATATGTGCTTCTTAAATAAGAAAAAGACAAAAACATGGTAAAATGATTAGCATACCCTTAGAGTGAATAATGAATTGAAGTTAACTTC